TAATTATTGTGAAATAATTCTGACTAATTTTGATGCTCCTTTGTAGTGGGGACACATTATTTCAATTTTGTTATTTCAGGAGTTATTATTTTGATTTTAGTGATTTTGAAATAATTTCCTAGTGTTGACATGCCCTTAGTCTTGCTTCCCATTGGATCTTATGTACTGGCTCCCTGAATTTGCAAAAGTCTTCCTCTTGAAATCCATTATCTTTATTGTTCTGTTTTCCCTCCCACCTATTCTTTTGAATCATCAACCATTTCACGATCACTTTCACAAAAGCCGTCTTCCACTTTCAAATCCTAAGCCAATTCATTCCTATATGCCAAAATCAATTCTAGAACAGCTTCTCACCCAGTAGTTTTCTTCACCGTCTGAAATAAAAAATTGTGTCCAATACATTCCAAGAATTTGTTTTATAATCTATGCCTGCCTATTAATTCAATTGAGTGACCCCCTAGGTCTTGTATTATGTGAAGGGGTAAATAACACTCTAGTCACTGTCTCAACAGATATCCTGTGCTTTGAATGATTTTGTTAGTTCTTTATAAAAAGCTTTTCCACCTCCACTTCCTATGTTCCTCCACTTCCAACAAGTCTCTCTTCTATTTCCATCTTGAACTTGGTTCAGGTTTATATATTTTTAATATTTAGCTACACCTCTTCCCTTTTCCCCTTGTCTGTCCTTCCTGAGCAAGCTATATCCTTCTATACCAATATTCCAGTCATATGCATAATCCTACCAAGTTTCTGTGATCCCAGCTATGCCATAGTTGTGTTTATTAACTAGTATTTCAAGTTCTTTTGCTTATTCCCCCTGCTTCTCACATTTGTATACAGGCAGCTAAGCTTCTGATTTGATTCCCATACCCCATGTTCTCTTCTCTCTCCCTTATCTCTGTTATAATAGCCCATGCTCCTCCCAGATTCCAACCGTTTTCCCAGGTTTGCAGGTTTTAGACTTATTGGTGGGCTTTGATCACCTGCCCCCCATCAACCTTGTTTAAAGCTCTCTTCACTGGGTTAGCCAATCAGAATCCAGGTATGCCCTTCCCTTTCCTTTAAAGGTGGACCCCATCGCTGCTTAGCAGTTTTTCTTCCCGGAGAAGCAATATAAAATCTTCCATTTCAATAGTGCTTTTCATTGGAAGCATCCCCAATTATTTTGCCCAGTACAGAATCTTTGACCCACCACAGAAATGAAAGCTGGCTTTCTGTTAGAACGTAGCAGTTGTCTAATATCTTGCAGCACTACACAGTCTAGAACAGGGGAAAAGACACTTATCACTGAAACTCACCAGGACAATTTTAGGACAGTGGAATGTTAGTTAGTACCCAGATTGGGATTTGGCCAGGACAGCAGAACTACAATGCTTCACTTGTGAAAATACCAATAGGATCTTCAGTGGTCACAAATGGTCAGGACTTTCGGCTATGTCTACACCAAAAGACTGCATTTCAGTGTCACTTTGGAGCACTTCTTCAGTACTGACAGGAAAGAGTATCACCTACTGAATCACTAGCATCGTTTCCCATAGTACTTATGTTTTTCTTGGTAGCCAGTCATCTAAGCACCAAGCAGGCCTGACTCTGCTGGACTTGTGAGAATTGATGAGATCATAGCTGCAGGTGCAGTGTGAATTGCACAATGAGAATGGGTAGGATTAAGAAGTTAAAATTCTTCAGTTTGGCCATAGAGGGTCTCCAGTCCTGGAGGGGGACTGGAAGGCTGAGGCTTGACTGTATTTCTTGGGTTGAAGGCATAGTGCCAAGCACATGATCTTATCATGCAAAGGACAGTGATGTGTTCCAAGTGTCTTGTAGATAAGTGCTGCCTTGTTTAGCTGAAATCAAAACAAAATGAAGGAGGTTGCATGCAACGCCTGGTCTTTGAAAAACAAGCCCACAAAAACATGCACTGGTTACTCCTCTGTGATGATACTGCATTTCATACACAGCTTATCTTTCGTACAAAGCATATGTGGAGATAAAGGCTGCACTTTTCAGCACTGAATTACCAATATTAGAAGAGGGGGAGAGAAACTAAGGGAGGAAAGAGAGAATTGCATCTCAGATTTGAATGAGCAGGGAAGAGAGTCGTACTAACAAGAGGTTCAAAGGGGAAGGTTCTCTCACTCATGACTATAAGAATGGCCATTCTGGTCAGAGCAGTGGTCTATCAGGCCCTGTATCCTGCCATCTAACAGCAGCCAGTGGCAGATGCTTCAGAAGGAGTGAAAAGAACAATTTTGAATGACCAAATCAGGGCAATTTTGAATGATCACTCCCCCTATTGTCCAGTTCCCACTTCTGGAAGTTAGAATCCCAGAGCATGGGACTGGGTCCTTGAGCATCTTGGCTAATAGCTGTTGAAGGATCTCTCCTCTGTGAACTTATCTGAGGGTATGTTTTTTCGAAACAGACATTTTTCTGAAAAAAACTTCAATTACGTCCACACTGCAATTACATTCTTTCGAAAGAAAATCGAAAGAACAGAGGTTTTTTTTTCCAGCATTGGTAATCCTCTTTCTATGAGGAAGACACCTTTTTCTGAAAAAGCTCTTTCGGATGGGGAAGAGGGAGTTCCTTCAAGACTACAGGTTTTTTTTTTTAAAAAGTAACCTTTTTTCGAAAAAACTTTACCTGCGTCTAGACTGCAGTCGCATTCTTTCGAAAGTAAATCGAAAGAACGTGGCACTTTTTTTGATCGCATAAACCTCATTCTACGAAGAATAATGCCTTTTTTCTAAAGTACTCTTTCAAAAAAAGGCACTATGTAATGAAAACTATGCTCTTTCGAAAGAGAGCATCTAGACTCGTAAGAAAAAGCGGCTCGCTTTTTGGAAAAATCTGCTTGTAGTCTAGATGCTCTCTTTTGAAAGAGGCTTTTTGGAAAGATTCTTTCGAAAAAGCCTCTTTCAAAAGAGGCTTGTAGTCTAGATGTAGCCTCGGAGGAAAAAGCACAGGTGCCCTGGTGGCCACTCCGTCCATAGTAATCATAACTTAAATGTGAGATAGCGTCCATTCAGTGTGGATGCTATCTTTCGAAAAAGCAGATCACTTTTTTGATGCACTTTGGCAGTGTGGATGCGCTCTTTCAGAAGAAGTTTTTTCAGAAAATCTCTTACGGAAAAGCTTTTTCCGAAAGAAGCCTGCAGTCTAGACGTAGCCTGATTTTGTTTTGAACTTTTGGCTTTCACTACATCCCCTGGCAACGAGTTCCACAAGTTGACTGTATGTTGTGCAAAGAAGCACTTCCTTTTGTTTGTTTTAAACCTGCTGCCTATTAACTCAATTGTGTCATGAGAAGGAGATACATAACATTTTATTCACTTTCGCCATACTGTTCATAATTTTAGAGACCTCTATCTTCCCTTATTCATCTCTTTTCTAAGATGAAGAGACCCAGTCCTTTTGTCTCTACCTGCCTCTTTTACTCCACTGTTTAACCCTAGTGGCATTTTTTCTTTCTCTTTATTTTTCATCCGGGGGCATTCATTTACTTTGAGCCTCTGTTATGGTGTTTTAAAAATAGCCTTCATGCTGTTTCAGTGCAGGCCAGATCATGTGAAGAGCAGAGAGGAGGATGGTACTAACTGCTGGGAGAGGAGAATCTGTACCTAGGAGCAAGACAGGATCAAAGAGATTAGTAATGAACAGGATCCTGCAATGACTGTGGAGCCAATAAGGTTGGAGGATAGGGTCAAAGAGGCTGGGTTCCTCTTTACATACCAGGAGGAGGGCAGCAGCATTATGAATAGACCAGGGTCTGGCTGCAGTAGCAAGCGTAGTGTACTGATCTGCAGTCTGGGGCACCTCTGGGCACAAAATGCTTCCCTGTCATGCTCTCATACACCTGCCTATTAAGATGCAGCGATATTAATCCATTGGCCTTCTAATTTAGAGTGGCTTTCACTGCAGGATCTCAAGGCATTTTACACAAAGGCTGAGAATGGGGCACCAAGCACTGCAAATGCAAGGTGCCTGCGATCCAAAGTGTCCCAGGTATTCAACAGGAGAGAAATCTCCAGCCTTGGCAAAGTCCCCCTGCAGCTGCTGGTCGGCCACAGGGAGCTGTGTGAGAGGAACGAGCAGAGAGAGGAGCGTGTTTGCTCCTTCTGCACTCTCTCAGCTGTGCAAACAATCCAGTGAAAATCACAGGATGTTTACAAAAAAAGAGTCTGTAAACGGGGCCTCGGGAACAAACCAGAAGGTGCTGCCCAAGCTGTGGTTGCTATGAGGGACCTATAGATTCCATTGGGTCACATGTGCCAACTGCCAGCCAGGAGGGTGGGGATGACAGGTATTTATTTGTAGTGTGCCCGAGGCCCCAGTCATGAGAAGAGTCCCATTACATTAGGCTGTGTAGGCAATGCTGCCACAGTGTAAGACCCGGATCCTGAAGTCAGATCCACTAGCATCAGCTCCTGGCAGAGCAGTGCAGTGGTGGGGCTGGTCAAAAATGTGCCATCAAACCTGTTTTTTAAAGGAAAACCAACTAAAAAGTTGGTGGTTTTTTTTTGACTAAACAAGGTGGGGGTTATTTGGGTGAAAATATTGACTTTTAGTTAGAAAACTCAGCACCTGGAAAGCAAAAACTTTTGGCCAAACCCAGAACATTTGAATTCGGATGTGCTGCAGGACTTCCTCGTGGGAGTCTTAATTCAGGTGCCTCCTGGCCTCATTCTCCTCCATGGGCTGGGCTGGGCTCCGCAGCTGAACTATATCTTTCCTGCGCTGCCACCAGGGCATTTCCGAGTCCGTTTCCTGGTTTTCAGTTTTGTTGTTATTTGTTGCATAGATGAAGTTTTCCAAGATTTACCCCCTTTTGATCAATATCCTATTTTCTAACCGGCTCTGTCCATTAGCTGTACCTTGTGTCTTCAGTGGGGATCTGCAGCAGCTCATGCTCTCTGCGATCAGATTGAAAGATTAGGGCCCAATTTATGGCAGGACTCCAAAAAGTATCTTTAACAACCAGTTTAGGGGACAGCAGGAGATGGAAGAGGATGCTCGTGACAAGAACATGCTGTTACATAAATTAGCTACATAGATTAGCTACATCCAGGGATTTACAAATCTTTATTTTTAAAATGCAGACAAGCCATAGATATTAATGATGTCAGAAGAATATATATCGGTGCTACCTGGAATTGTCCAAATACCGGAATGGGAGCTGTTTGTCTGACAGGGTGTCTTTGAAAAAACACATCAGTAACTAAATAAGTGTCCTTTGCAACAAGCATTTCCAGGAAGATTCACAACAGGCTGAGAAACCTAAAGGGAAAAAACAGAAAGTCACCAAGTACAGCCAGTGTTACTGAGCAGGTAAAAACTTGCATCGGACAAAGTGGTTTTTACCACGAAAGCTCATGCCCAGATAAATCTGTTAGTCTTTAAGGTGCCACAGGACTGCTCATTGTTTTTGCTGATACAGACTACCATGGGTACCCCTCTGAGATTCAATGCCAGTAAATAGTTAATCTCTTAGGCTACGTCTAGACTGCAAGCCTCTTTCGAAAATGTTTCAAAAAAGTCTCTTTTGAAAAAGCGAGTCTAGACTACAACCAGTACTTTTGAGAAAGCAAGCCGCTTTTCCGAAAGAGAGCACCCAGGCTGTCTGGCTGTTCTCTTTTGAAAAAGCACAGTTTGCATTACATAGCACCTTTTTTCGAATGAGCGCTTTCGAAAAAAGGCGTTATTCCTCATAAAACGAGGTTTTCCGTGGTCAAAAAAACTGCCGCGTTCTTTCGATTTACTTCCGGAAGAACGCGGTTGCAATCTAGACGCAGGTACAGATTTTTCGAAAAAAGGCCACTTTTTTCAAAAAATCCCTGTTGTCTAGACACACCCTTAGTGCTGGTGCTTTGGTGCTCCAGCTTCTGATATTGGCATTCAGCACAGGAGAAACGTTTTCAATATTTATGTGCACAGTCTTTAGCAACATCTGCAGTGAAAGTAATTAGGCTCAAATCGTTAAGGCCCAGTCCTCATGCTTCAAGGCTGATCGTTAGTGAGGCTCAGGAAGGAAGTGCTGCACTGCTGGATGCAAGAGGCAGGGGAGCTATACCTTGAGCTGGCATCGTTACAGACAAGATACTAGATTTCTTGCTGTCTAGGGCCAACACTGAGGTATTGCCTAGTATTTTCAAAACCTAGTATTTGGTTATTACTTAAAAGGGGTTTTTCAAAACCTAGTATTTGGTTATTACTTATTATTTTGTTGTATTATAGTAAGGCATAAAGGCCCCAACCAAGAATGGGATCCCACTGACCTAGGGTCCGTACAACCAGAGACAGTTGCTACCTCAAAGGGCTTACATTCGGAACAGAGACAAGGACAGGAGGGGAGTAGTAATCAATAGCGGAACAGAAGAAAGATTTAGGATTGAAGCATTTCCCAGTGGCACTGGAAATCCAAACACAAAAGGACAGCACTAAGGCATGAGAAGCAGAAAGCTTTGACAATGGAATTTTGACTAGTCAGTTTTTCTAAAGCACAAGTTTTATAAATAATAGTAATCAGAAAAGTCTAGCAGAATTAATTCAAAGTACTAAGAAAACAAAACAACATTCAGTTTTCTACAGTTTTATTAACAACCCAGAGAAAGACATTTTAAAAAAGAGTTTTTAAAAGAGTATTTTTATTATTTATGTATATGGTGGTAGTGCCTAAAGACCTCACCAGGTTAAGTCCTCAATGTGCTTGGAGCTGTACAAACATGCAGAAAATGACAGTCCTTGCTTTTCATTCTGAAAGCTTCCTTTACAGCACTGAGGAGCATGAGGTAGGGTGAACCTCATGTGTCACTTTAGTTAAACTTCCAGTGTATTTCCATCATGGACTCAAATAACATTTAGGGGGATGCTGCCAAGTGCTATTTTGTAGTAACCTAGCCTGGTCCCTGAATATTAGTGACCAGGTGGGTTTGGTAACAGCTTCTGTTGATGTAAGATAGAGCCCTGCAAATCCATGGGTATCTGCTCATTTTGTAGATAGTGGACCAGTGTGGGTTGTGGATACTAAAAAGGTTGGCACATGCTTGGCAGGGAGATGAGACAAGGGTGCCCTGCCAAATGCTCCTACCGTGGAGTTTGTCCCGCTCGGCCCTGACTGGTGCTGCTACTGGGGAACGGGACGAGTACCCATAGCCTGGCCACACTCCTTGCCAGGAGTGCCCTTCCCTCCGATTCTCTGGTAAGGGCTGGGGAGTGGGGCAGAGCAGGAGAAGCTCCCTGTCAGGGGCACGTGATGAGGCAGAAAGGGACAAGTACCCATGTCACGGCTATGCTCCTTGCAAGGCATACCTTGACCCTGCTCCCCCGTAAGTACTGGGCAGGATGGAGCAGAACAAGCACCCTGCCCCAGCCACGTTCCTCCATACGAGCACCCCCACATACACACAGATGCTCCTCCTCAGAGGTGGTTTGCAGCTGCTGAGGTGCTGTGGATGTGGATATACATAAAAGGTGGGGAGTGGATTTTGGATCGGATCATAGAATCATAGAACCATAGAGCTGAACGAGATCTCAAGAGGCCATCAAGTCCAGCCCCCTGCTCTAGGCAGGACCAATCCCATCTAGATCAACCCAGCCAGGGCTTTGTCAAGCTGAGACTTAAACACCTCTAGGGATGGAGACTCCACTACTTGCCTAGGTAACCCATTCCAGTGCTTCACCACTCTCCTAGTGAAATAGCTTTTAGCAACTTTTTCATGGTATGATGGTGAGAAGCTCGGGAAAATGTATATTAAACATCCCCCTTCAGGAAAAGAAAACCAAAGAAGCAGCTTGTGCAGCATATTCTCAATTGAGGTGCTGGGTTTGGGCACAAGTAGGTGCTGCCTAAATTCTCACCCAAAAGTGACAGAAATCAAATAGTTAACTTGGTATTAAAATGGGCTGGATGTAGAAAACCAGATCAGGACTCTCCACAACTCTGGGAAAGCACAGACCCAATAGCAGCTGTGAATACAAATAGTGTGACTCAGTCTCACCCCTAGAATGTGCGCACTGGAGTCCAGCATTTGAACTTGGAATGTCAACACAATACAGATTCAGAGTGGAATCTTGATCCAGACTTTATAGCTCAAGCTTCCTTGTGCAGGATATGGTGGCTGAAAGCATGCTGAATTTGATTGTGGATGTTCTATAAATGTGGCAAACTGGGTGTCTAAATGACCTGTGTGCATGTGTTGTGTCACTTTGACTTTTTTCTCTCTTTATTGGCTTTCCAAAACTATTGTCATGTGATTCCTGAGCACTTGAGCCTAAAGTTGGAGAAGAGAGATGAGTGCAGAATCTGGACCTTTGATGGTGTGCAGTCTGAAGGATTTATGGGTCATGTGCAGCATACTAGAGAGGGAGGTTTCTGTAACACTGCCCAAAGGAGACCACAAGAGGGAGCTTCAAGCTAATCACATGTGGAGCTCTTGTTTTAAAGGAAGTGAGAGCTACAGAAATATTAGCTGACCAGTGGCATCATGCAAGCAAAGGACTGTGCAGTTGTATGAGTACCTGAGCAGAGTATTCTCTTGTATAGCCATGCTGGCACAAAGTGTGAAGTATTGACCAGTAACTGGCTTTCTATGGGAATGATGGAAAATAAGGCAAGCTAAAGCAATACTGGAATCTCCTGGGGCATGTCTACACAGCAGGGCTAAACTCAAAATAAGCTACACAACTTGTTAACACAAATTGTGTACCTTAAGTCGAAATAGCTTATTTTGACTTTTGGTGCTGTCTACACAGCAGTTATTTTGAGAGAGAGCATCTTCCCCCAACTTCCTTTCCTCCTCATACAATGAGGCTATGTCTACACTGACAGCTTCTTGCGCAAGAACAGCTGTTCTTGCGGAAAAACTTGCCTGCTGTCTACACTGCACGAGTGTTCTTGCGCAAGTAAATTGACAGTATAGCGCTGTAAAACAGGGCTTCTTCCGGAAGAGTTATTCCTCTCCCCACGAGGAATAAGCCGTCTTGCGCAAGAGTTCTTCCACAAGAGGGCAGTGTAGACAGGCAACAAGAATTTCTTGTGCAAGAAGCCCCTATGGTTAAAATGGCCATCAGTGCTTTCTTGTGCAAGAGAGTATCCACATTGCCATGGATGCTCTTGCGCAAAAGCACATGGCAGTGTGGACGTGCTCTTGTGGAAGATTTTTTGGACAAGAACTCGTCTGCAAAAGAGTTCTTGCGCAAGAAGCCACCGGTGTAGATGTAGCCTGAGGGTTACAGGAGTTGGAGAAAGCAGTCCTCCAGCTTGACATTATGTCGAAATAACTGCTTGTGTGTAGATGCGAACTGTGTTATTTCGGAATAATGTTAGTTATTCTGAAATAATGCTGCTGTGTAGACATAGCCCTGAAGTCTGTTCCACCACTGGGAGAAGCAACAATGCTTCTAACCCTCAGCAGTTCATGACCTGGAAGTGTTGTGAATCAGAGATACTCAATATAGGCAATAATGGGCATGATAATTGAACAGGCTTGTTGACCTCGAGTAATCTCATAGATGGGAGGAAAATTGAAGTCTGAGAGTAGAAACCTAAAGTGCCCCTGATCTCCCCAGTGCTGATTATGGCAAGCACTGCGGGAAGACACTGAATTGAGCCAAGCTGCTGGGCAAGGCCAGGCTCCAAAGGCAGATACTGACGGTCACATTTTCTGCAGTGGACACAGATTTGGGGGCCCATTTTGAAATAGTCAGAGCCTGATTTTGAGAAGGACTGAGCACCTGCAGCTCCCATTGATGTCAGTTGTGGTTCTGCACCCCGCACATGAGAAGTGAGCCGGGGGAGCTGAAGTGGAGGTTCAATCACCTTTGCCCCACTTGGAGGATGCCGAGCAGGGTTCAGAGCGGCTCTCCCACTCTTGCTACAGCCATGGGTGACTCTGATGCGGGACTCGCCAGGAGTGCAGGGAGCAGAACGGCACCTAGTTACTGTGCAGGGGACAAGTGGGAGGGCGTCTTGCCCTCCTGCAGGATTAAGCAGCAGGTAGCCTTTAGCACGTATTCTGTGCGACGGCGGGACGATGTCGGCAGTGGGACTGTTGTAGCCAGGTTGTGTTGGATAAGGCAAAGGGGTGTTGATAAACCTGCTTCAGCTCTGATTGGATCAGTGGCAGAAGCAAGGCCTCAGAGAACAGTTGGTTGGTGAGAGCTTTCAGACAAAGAATCAGCTGCTTTCATGCCCAGATTAGGGCAATTAACCTGCAGGACCATTGCTCCTTTAATCAGCAGGGTAGTGCATGCTTGCCTGATGCTCGGTGGTTTTTAACACACTCACAATCGCCTATAATTAGCCTGGTTTCTCTGAAGGAGCTGCATGG